CCTGATGGAGCTGCACGAGTTGCCTGCACACCTTCTCCACCTCTTTCATGCACGCCTGACCACGGTGATGTATCGCTCGGCTTTTTGGTGGCTCAATTCTTTCCCTCTCGGGAACCGCGAGCTGCCGCTGTTGTGATTTTTTTGTAGTAACGATAGGAGCTGACCTTCACGTGGAGAACTAAAGAAGCATGACGCTAATCTAAATCATTAAAGAAGACAAGCCATGCCTTTATTTAGGTGAAGAAGGAAGTTTTACATAGACTAACAGCGTCGTTTTTCTTTTATTTCTTCAAGGCTGGGCTGAGGGGAGATGTATTGATATCATATCGCCTTCCTGAACGGCAGGTGCAGAGCATAGAGTCAGACAAGGGTACCGAGCTGTGGCAAGAAAGAAGAAGATGGGAATTTTAATCTAGGTTTTGAAGACACGTTCTTAGGTATCTATTTATTTATTGCCTCGTACTCTTTCCAAAGAGCTCTTGGGTATTGTAAGAGCATTCATAGGACATTTTTGGGACCTGGTGGAATAATAGTTTCATGAATTACCACGAATATAGAGCAGTGGAGGTCCCTGTATGAATTTATCCAAAAATCAAATTCTCCTGACGTTTGTAGAACTGCATTGGCTTGGAGTTAGATCTTAGGACAGGCACAACCTGGTTTGTTCACTTAACATAGCTTTATTTTAAACCCATGGCTTGTGCAAGCTAGCAGTGAAAAATACGAAGGCCCTTTTCGAAGGATTGGGATATAGGAGATGACAAAGGCTCCCGTTAAGCACACGCAATTGAAAGTCTTCCCGTTCTGCAGGCTGACAGGGTTGGGCACTCGCTGACAGCAGTTATCTTTCTTGGGTCAGTAGGAACACATTCCTTATTCAAACATGCAAAGGGAAGACGCTTCGCATTAGAAAACGCTGACATTTCCGAGTTAAAATTGCTTCCTCTTGTCGCAAGATCAGCTGTCATCTCGCAAAAGGTATTTCTAGAAATGGGGAGGTCAGCCCAACACCCAACGCTCCACGCTAGCTGTTGCTGCTGGCAAGGGCTCGATTAGTCCCCACGTCTCTTCTACAGGCTCATTACCACCAATCTTTGACATTCTTCCCAATAAATGCAGCCTCTTGTGCTCCTGGGAGGGGAAATCCCATTTGTTTGAAGCAAGGCTCGAGACCCCAGAACCTCCAGCAGCTTTTTGCAGCATCGCTGGATTCTATCAGAGCCCCTCGGAGCTGCCGGGGGTCCCCTGGTATTCTATTAAAACCCCAAATCTCGTGGACATCTTTTACATGTCTGATTAACCTTTTGGGTTTTAGTTTTACTTCCCTTTTTTTTTTTGGTAGAGCACACAGCATAAAATATCCTCAGCCCGAGACCGGGACATTTTTTATATGGCTGGGTTGATGTGAAATAAGGAAAACGAGCGCTTCGAAAAGTGTTTTCATTCCGACGAGGTCTAAAAATGGAGCCTTCTGAGTTTTCATTTTAAATTATTTTTGTCTGAGGATAGGTTTGAAGGTTTCAACGGGGCAAAGGACGATATAAGGATACCGTAGCGCAAGGCTGCTGAAATCTCGCTGAACTCGAGCTTTCCACCCATTCACAGAAACCTTCTAAAAATATATATAGATATAAAAACTTCTCTGAAACCTCGTAAGTTTTCTGGTGGGGAAAAAAAATGCCTGCAGTGTCTTCAAGTTGCCTTTCTATTGCCATGATATAATTAGAAGGAACACGAGCAACAAGCAAGCGTTTTCATTGCCTTTCCAGCCCAACTCGCCAACCTCCTCCACGTACGCGGGCCTTTGAAATATTCAGCACGGAGAAAAAGAGGAGAGTGAATACGGCAGCGCTTGGCGTTTATTGATCTATAAAATATTTATGGCACGTGTATTTATAGTGCTTGGCGTTTTATATGTATGCAGAACGTATATGGAGCAGGAGTCTGGATGTGTTACATCTGTCTGCTTTGGCACGTCGTGGTGTCCTTATTTGTAGCCTCTACCTGTGTTTCGTGCTGTCTGATTTGCTTTAGGGAAGCCGGGATGATGTCCTTTGAAAATAATACACCTTATCCTCTGCATAAAAGGTTTGTGAACACACGGTAATTATTAAATACGTTTGTTCTGTCTAGAAAAATGCCAACATTTTTTTTTTAAATAGAGGGAAATGGGGAGGGGAGCAGCAGTGACCCCGTGCTGGTGGAGGGAGGGCAAACCTTCGGGTCAGGGTCCGTGAATGTGTGCGTCAGAAAGAATAACTGGCAGGAATCCGTGAATTACAAGCCTCTAAATTAATTACAGGCTTCTGGTGACACGGCAATAAACCATTCTAATGAAGATTGAGTGGTTTATGGTTTTGTCAGAGCTCTGAAAAATTGCGGGGTTTGTAAACTGCGTAGATAGCGGGGGGTTTGGTATGAGCTTATTGAATAAAATACACCGGTGGAAAGAAGCTAAAAATGAGCATGTGAATTCGCTTGCTTCTTAATTTTTAATTCAGCTCTTTGTTACACAAACAGCTTGTTTGCTTTCCCTCGAACCGAGCTATTCAACGCTGATTATTCTCCACTCTGCCGCTGTGTCTTTTTGTATGCCTCTAGTGTATCTGATGTTATTTAAAAAAATAATAATCTCAATCGTCATCCTCATTACCGGTGTTTCCCTATCAGTGATGCTTTTTTTTCCCTGAAAAACCTGCAGAATTTCTTGCATGCTCCTGTGGCTGTGTGGCCTGGAACCCGTTGTGCCCCCCCAAAAGCAGGCAGAGCCTTCCTGACCTGCACACGCACCTCCATGGGAGCCTCTTCAGGAGGAAATTAGGCAGCTAAGTTAATCAGGACAGCTCATCAGGTTTAATTTGTGCACACTGGAGTTGGATCCGAACCGGATTGGGAGCTTCTAGGTATCCAAAACTGTTAGGTGCGTGGAAAATAAGGCCAATCTGAAAGAGAACCAGGGAAGATCTGACATGGGAGCAACGCTGAGGGGCCAAGGGCTCGTGCTTGTTTGTGTAGATAACTTAGCTTCAAAGCAGAAGCAATTGCTAGAAATTAAGAAATAGCTGACACGATAGCCTTGCAGTCTTATTTTGATCTTGTTTTTATGCATTATGTACAGTTTTTAAATAAAATAATCAAGTTTTCTCCAAAATACTCCTACCTCGTTGTGCACACAAGTTTGGAGAGCCCTCCAAGGATTTGTCAGGAGCATATGATTAAAGAGATGGCATCTCAAGGACTCTGCTTTCAGTTATCACCCAAGCTGGAAATTGTAATGCCAATAAGGGCAAGTAAGGGATTGCAGGCAGAGTTTTGTGGGTAAGGTTGTTAAATGCAGCTGTGAAGAGCACATCGAGATAACGCTTTGGTCACTTGCACGACGCTTCTCTTGTTGGAGATGGTTGGGTTGACTCATGTTCTGCTTGCCCCATGAGATTTTAAGGTCTGGTGGACAACTGGAAGACGTTAGTCTCAATGAAGACTGCTCTAAGTCACACCTAACTCATCCAGAAAAACTGGGGGGAGTTCTTGTGTCCCTTAAGCTGTACCTTGGATTTCCTCTCTCAATTTGTGATGCTGGCAGAGCGCTACGAGATTAAGGAAGCGCATGGATCATGCCAAAACAGGAACCACAGAAAACCCTACTGGAAACTCATCGTTTTGTTTGCACGGAAGAGTTTGAAGCCTAGAAACCGTGAAGCCATGCACTAAATAAGAAGCTGGAAATCAGATCCTAAAATGCTCTTACAGTGGATGTTCTCCCCTGAGTGCCCTAGGAGGCTGCAGGATTTGATGGTTTAATTGGGGAGTGTGCTGTAATCCTTGCAAACCTGGCGTCCGAATTAGGGATGCAAGGGCAGCCTCGACCGTAACATTTCTTTAGCTTCTGCGCAATTGATTTTATAATCTTCACCTTCTTTTAATTTAGAGGGGGGGGGGGTTGAATATTACGGCTTTATAAATATTATAAGCAGACAGCAGGAAGGATGGCTCAAGAAACACAATTGGATTTTCTGTCTGAAATGATAAGTCGTGGATGGTACTTGGAAATTTAATCCTTTCTGGCTTCCCAAGGACTATGGATATTCAAAACCATCGTTCCCCTGGGAAAGCTGGTGGGGATGCTGATGGTTGTTTTTTTTTTTGGTGGGTGCTCTTCAGTTGGATGCGAGGGGAGTGGGCTCGTCAGGACGGTGACGTTATGAGCGGTTTTCCTCAACTTGCTAATTTCTATTGTGCTAGTGTTACAATAATGATGAAATTAAATTAGCATATCGTATAGCATACTGAAAAGCTGTGAATACATTACAGTAATGCAAGGCAACAGATAATTGCTGGCTTAAGAAGTATTCCTTCTCAGCAAAGATAACTATTTTTTTTTCTTCTTCCATCACTGGGGACGGATTTCCTAGTTATTGATTATCTCTTCATCTTCTGTTAAACTCGGTCAGAAGTCCTGGTTTAGATGAAAATGTCTCTAAATGCTCCTAATTCTGTGTCACTTGCCAATGAACTTGTCTTATACGTGTATGTACCTCTCCATACATTGACTTACAGGTCTTTGTTAAGTTAGCAGTTGGCATCCAATCCTTTGAAATGAATGAGATTTAATTACCCTCCTTCTTAGAGATTCTTTAAATATTATTTTTATTTATTTAATTTCCTACGATCAAGTTACTTTTATAAAATTTTGGGTTGTGCGCATTGGAAAACAACTTGCATGTTTTGTAAATTGAAGTTCAAATTCTTTCTTTTGGCCAAAAAAAATGAACAAAAAAGCTAGAAATGCATATTAAAAGCAACCATTAAGTGCTCTCTCTAGAATAAACGTTTTCCCTAGTGTTTGCTTGTTAAAGGTTGAAGAGAAGAATTTGAATTACAGATGTGTTTTCTACCTATTTCTGATATTTTTGAAGGCTTATTGAAATTATTTACTTGCTAAACCTTTACTTGTATTTACTCATCGCCGCTTTCATTTTTCCCCCCACCTCTTTTTGTAGTTCCACCATGGTTTTTAGTTCGCCCATCGAATCTTTATGCCTACGAGAGCATGGACATCGAGTTTGAATGCGCCGTGTCTGGCAAGCCCATCCCTACGGTGGAGTGGATCAAGAATGGAGAAGTGGTCATTCCTAGCGACTATTTTCAGATAGTGGTAATTATCTAGGTTTTTTTTACTCACTAATGGTTGAGATTTTTTATCAAGTCGTGAAATGTGTTCTGATACTTGACCCAATCGTTGCCTTCGCAAACTTGGAAGCTTTCCCAAAGAAAACAAAATTTCTTGTGCCTCCTAGTGTGCAAGAAGGAGCATTGCAGTGAGATATTATAGCAAGTTTGTTGATATCATCTCCCAGATTTAGGGAGATTTAAACACTTCTTTTTGGAGGGATGTAACAGTTTGTGATCCCAATCTAAATTATTGTTAATAATATGGTTTGGCAAGTGCTAACGACTTCCTTACTAACTATTGGCCTTGGGACAGAAATACTACATCTCTTCTCCAAGGAAGTCAGACTCCCAGGATTGTTAGGAATGACAAACGATGGCTATGGTCAAGTGCAAAGGTTCAATGATGAAGACAAATTTTAGTTTCTCCTTTTAAGTACAGATCTTTAAAGTTTCAGGGTACCAGAACAAGCATTAGGGAACATGTTGGTGGTGCTCCACAGAGTTACATGAGGCAAAAGATGCTTTTCTTGGTAATTTTCACCCGTTGAGTCTCCTCTGCAAGTAGTTTCAGATTTGTTTCAGGAAATACTTTGTCTAACTTACGGCTTGGTTGATGAGAGGAATTATTTCTTACACTGATTTTATATAAATCAAAAGGGGTTAATGATGAGAATATTTTTTTGATATAATTAGATTTTTAAAGAGAATTTTTGCACATTCTCCCCAAAGTAACATCCCCATGCAGGACTCCCACCCCTTTTAGTTTAAATACAGCTGTTATATAAGCTTGGTTTATGCTGAGTTTTCCAAAAGCATTGATCTCCTGAAAGCAGTGCCACTTGTAAATGAGCTGAAATATTGGAAAAGAGCCCCGAAAATCTCAGTGACAGTGAAGATGTCCATAGGCCACGAGATGTGACTTGTTCATGGCTTGGTTCAGTGCTTTCTAATTTTTCAGCTTGTAACCAATAACATCTTTTAATTACCAATCAAAAAAAAAAAACAGTTTTAATGTGGTGTTCATGCAGGATAGATCCACTCTGCCATACGCAACAGTAAGTTCAACTTTTTTTGATTATTATACATCATTGCTTGTGCTAACAGAAGTTAAAAGCTAAATCTCTTTCAAATGGAGTGAGCGCAGAGTGACCTTTTCTGGAGGATCTCCAGGCCTCGAGCCATAAGGAGGGTTTGACCTTCAGCACAGCATTTGTTCAAAGACACAGAAGTTGAAAGTTCTTCTAAATCTTCCCTGCGGCTAAGGGCCAAGACAAAATTCGGAGCACTAACCAAGTGGCTGGCTGTAATTTGAAGCCTAAGCCTTGAGAAAGGTGTTGGATGGACAACAAAGTGAGTCCAACCTCAGGCCCGTAGGCACCTTCCCTCAAACAAAATGCAAAATATCACGTGTCGAGAGATTTCTGATGAAGATTCTCGTTGTTACAGACCTTGTCCTTAGATGCCTATGTGATCTGGGGTTGAGATTGCGTGCGCAGTGCCTTTGTTTCACAGAACAGCTGTTCCGTGAAGGTTTTGTAATCCTCGTTGACGTTGGATGGTGTTTTTCTAATTAATTCTCTTCCTTTCTTTCCATTTTCCGTATTTCTCTAGGGTGGCAGCAACTTGCGGATTCTGGGCTTGGTAAAGTCAGATGAAGGATTTTATCAGTGTGTAGCTGAAAATGAAGCTGGAAACGCACAGGCCAGTGCACAGCTAATCATCCCAGAGCCTGGTAAGATGCAAAGGACACAGAATTGCAGATGTAATTAATGCTATTAACATAAAAATCCCAAGCGAGCAGCTACTATTCTTTATTCCCTTTTACTTCTCCAGCTGGCTGGCTGTAGTTAAAAGTGTGTCCAAGCTCTCAGATACTTTGAGACATTTTGTTCACTGAGGCAATTACAGATGCTGGCCTTGTCCTAGAGCTGACTCTGGAGGCCAACTAAACCTGCACGAAGAGCCAACGGCGATGCCTCACCGTCTGTAGGGGAGCTTTGTCCTCCTGAAATAGGAGAAGATGGTCATAAACGGGTGAGGTGATGGAACGAAACAGTCCATAAGCATTAAGGGATTATATATCTAGTTGTGTTAAGCTTTTGGAGAAGGTTTTGTCTTGAGGAAAGGGAAAGAAAAAACATTTTGGCACGGGGCTATCGAGCGCAGCCAGCCACTGAGATCATAAGGTTTGTGTCTATGTACTAGAAGGACAAATGCTGCTCTGTTGCTCTGAAATTAATAGTTTTTTGGTTGTATGGACTGCATTATACAGCAGCATAGGTGTTTTGGTTTACTCCTTCATGTTTTTTTTAAGCCAGCAGAAAGATGTCTTCATCTTAAACCAGACGCCTTGTAAAACGTGGTTAAAAACCTTTCAAAGTTTCTGGGTTGTAAATGATTAATGACCCGCTCCGGGCTGCGGGATGCACTTGCTGCTTCTCAAAGACGATGCCAGGAAGCTGAGGGCTTGGGAACGTGCAGACGCATCATTCGTTCCCCAATTTGGCCTGGGAAGAGCAGAATCTTTTCAGTCGTGGAGTGATGTAGCTTGGTGGGAGAGCCCTGCCCTTGCAGGATCCTGCCAGCTGAGCGTTTCCCTCGTCTCTGTGCAGTCACCAGAGGTGCTGATGAGGTTATCTTCCCTTAGGGACAAAGGTGAAAATGAGAAAGCACTTAGAAACTAGATTTCACGGGCGGACAAAATGCCTGTGTGATATTGAGGAAGGACAGCAGGGATCAGCGAGGCATCATCCTGTTCAAAACCAACCTGTTCCCCTTCAGATGTCGCCGTGGGGAGATGCAGGATTGTTTTGCCTTTGCTTTTTATTTTCTTTGTTTTCTTTCAAGCTGAATCTGGCATTCAGCTCATGCACTCGGGTGATATTTGCATGCACGAACATCTGAAGGAAACGGGCCGTCTCCTACTGGAGGGGGGGTTTAATCTGGCTCTAGGATCAGCCAAAGCGAAACTGGGTTTAACTCAGCGCTGCTCCTACCTCGTCACGAAGTGCTGTCAGTTAATTTTATACCCTGTGTTTATGATGTTGGATTAAAATAGAAGAAAACGAAGAGCAGATACCAAAGAGCTCCAGGACGCCGTTGCGAACTGTCTCCGTTTCCCTTTTTAAGTGATGGATTACTTTTTCCTGGCTGTTTAATCAGCTCTTCAAACAATGCCACTCCAATTCCTCGGAGGTGAAGGGGGGGCCGGCATGCACAGCTGGCGCAGGAGCCAGCTACAAATGCAGATGAAGTGGTGGGGCTGGGGGAAAATATTTCTGCTCTGCTCAGCAAGGGCTCTGGTGGGAGCTGGCGATGACCCAGCTTGGTGGTGTGGCTTTTTATGGGGGTCTGCTCCAATAATTTGGACCGTGCTGAGAGCTAACTGTGTTCTGTATGTTATCTTGGGGGATATTGGAAGTTTAACACGGGTAAAAGGACGTAATGCGAGCTCCCGCAGATAATAGCCTCGGCTTTCACTCCTCCAGATGTGGCTGTAGGATGCTCCAAACTCTTTGGGTAGGTGTTGTGCTTAGACTACAAAAAGCCAGCGAGCTGCCTGAGAAATGTAAAATTTCTGGCCTTGGAAAGACGCTGTACTCAGCAGATTATTACGAACTAGGGTGAAAGAAGTGATGGTGGATGGGTTGCGATCCACGCATAGGCAGCATTTCTTCTCCCGTTCCCTTTCTTTCCCATTAACGGCCTTAATGCCAGACTCCAAGCAAGAGACTGCTCACCAGTTGATAATAAATTTATAAACTGCAGCTTTAAATGCTTATTTCTTTAAAAAGCAAAGCAATAAATAAGAAATATGAAAGGATTTCTCTTCTATCCTAATCTTCAACCATCACATCCTGGGTTTCTCAAGCCACTTGGCTACCTGCTGGCCTCTATTTCTGCCTCGTGACTCTGCCAAAGAACAATTGCTCCTCTGGACCTCCAGGCATGCGTGATCCTATTAAGCAGGTAAAGGAACAAACCCTACAATATGCACTCCCGGTACAAGTACTGGCAAGCCGATTCTCAGCAAGAAAAAGCAGCTGAAAGAGATCTCCGTCGGCTGCCTTATTTTTATAACTGTATAAAACCTGTTATTTGCACACCTAGAAAATGAGCAGAGAGCAGCGTGGTGGTGAATGATGGACACGCATAACTTCGGCTGAAGAGAAGATCCCCGAGGAAAATCTTCCTATAAAGAACTTGCAGGCAGTTATTTGCTTTACGCCAGCAGCTCCTCATCCTTCAGATATTCAGAGGACGTATGGGGGGATTGTTTTATTCTAGCAGGTGAAAGATCAGATAAAGACAGCCCTGAAATCATCAACGCGTGTATACAGCAGGATAATTATTAGCTGTGTTTCTGCAGGAAATTCCTCGCTAGACAAATCCACAGCTTAGGAAGATGCCCTCGCTCAGAGGCTGGAAATCAGCCTCTGCAAATCAGCTTTGGCTCTTGGCATCGTAATGCTTGAGCATGTCCCAAATTGGACCTTGTAGGGAGATGGAGAGGGTGCAGAGGGCTGAAACTCTTGGAAAGATCCTCAAGGGGTGAGCCCCAACGAGCTCTGAACACCCCTGCTTGTGCTCAGCTGTTTGTGGTTCAGTTTCTCATTTCCATCACATCCTTTTCCTTTTTAATTCCTCTGCTTACGGGTTGTGCGGCTGCTTCTCGTCGCACGTTTTCGGCTTAGCAGCTGGCAGATGTAACGGTTTTGCATGTGCAAGATCTTCGCGAGGACTTTGCATTTGTTGTATAATAAGGCTTAGGTTGGGAAACTTGTAAATGACTTTTCCTCGACAAAGAAACAGGGATGAATCAATCTTCAGAAATCATTTTCCCTGAATTCCTATTAGAAAACCATTCTGCGAGGCATCATTTCCCTTTCTTCTAAGTCTCACTTCCTCCTTAAGAAATCAAAACCTATCTACGTGTTAAGAAATGGAGCTAATTTCTCCATTAAAATTCAGATTTTTAGTCTTTGCAGGTTTGTTGGAAGAGCCAAACAGCGTACGTTGGTTTTGCTTGTGGTTAGTCTTAAAACTAAGGTGAAATATAAAAGCAGGGGTTTGAATATCGGGAAAAATGAGTGAAAAAAGTAATGAATGGATTTTTTTGGAAGGTGTTAGGCAGGTGGATCTTTGTGCTAATAATCCTGGTCCTGCCGTAGCGTGGGAAGCTGCTACGTGCTGCCTCTCCAGTCTGCCCTCGATGCCCTGAATTAGAACTAGCAAATTTCCCCGAGCTCCTCCGTGCCGTGGAGGAAGACGCGAGGGGCTATTTCAAGGCTCCACTTGCAAATTTCAAAATCGAATGTGTGTATGTACATATAAATATTGCTTTTTTTTTTTTTTTTTTTTTTCCTCTGCCGGCATGCGAAATTTATTTTCTGAAGGCTCATTTATTAGGCTGCCAGGGTTGGCCAAAGAGATGCTACAGGGAAAACCTCTGGCAGCAAAACAACAACAAAAGCACCTAAGGACCTGCACGAGGCACGGGGTTGGGGAGGAGAATGACCTCCTGAACCAACATCGTGTGGTTTTGTGCTGAGACAAGAGCTTTAACCTCCTTGTTTTAGTATGCACAACTGGTAAGCCGCTCGCGTTTATTGCACTGCATGAGCAGTAATAATCATGATAATGGTAAGAATAAATTTGGTTTATATGCTTTTATGGTGGTCTTTGCCATAACATTATGACACCTTCCCGGGGATTTATCGCAGACGTACGCAAAAATACGAAATCAGCAGAATATCCTTCTGGTTTAAAATTAAAACAAGGTGTAGAAAGGCCATCCTAGAGGTGCCCAGAAGACTGACCAAAGCTCTGCAAGGGATTGTCTTGGAAGATATTTAGAATTGCTCCTTCTGCAGGTCTTCATGAACAAGGTAGGCAAACATTTTCTAGGAATAACAGAGGTATTTTTAACCCTGCCATAGGATGTTGGAAAGGATCGGTTGAGTTCCTGAGTTCGTTTCTGGTTCTGCTTTCTTTGGATTTAAGTGAATTTTTTTGGAGATTTTCTACCGTAACAGATTCAAGAATTGCACAGTGGAAATCAGGCAAGGAGCAGTATACCCAGAGTTTTCTTCGTTTTACTTTTTTGGTTTTATTTTCTTTTTTGGACCAGAAAGGTTCTGGATGTAGGGACCAGCGTTGTGAGAAATGCTCAGGTGTGAGCAGACAGAGATCTGTTCTTAAAGGCAAGCTTCAGACACAGCTAATGCAGGTAGGGGATGCTTGATCTTGTCCTAAAAATACCTAAAATACATCTTAGTTCCAAGGTGGCAGTCAGATACACGCGAACATTTGTGTTTCCTGAATCATTTACAACCGTTCTCGTGTTTTCTTTAAAAATTAAAAAGAACACAGAACAAAAGAGTGATCCAAGCACAAAGAGTCTGTAAAGACACGACAGATTTTTTCAGAAAACACTGTGAAATTTCTTGCATATAAGAGAGGAAGAGCTATTGTCACAAGCACAGCTGCGTATTAAAATTGATTTAGGATCATCTGAATAAAAGACAGAGGAGTAATAATTTCCTATAGAGCTGTTTACAGTTTCCAAGCCAGCCTTCCCATGATTTTGTGTTTCTAGAACAGGATATGTGTTGATAAATAATAGTCCCGGGAAACTGGAAGGCAATTAACATTTAAGTGGTGTTAATGAAAATATCACTTACCGTATATTAACTTTACGTGGTAATGTCAGAAGAATCACGGGATAGAATA